GGCGATGATATTTGCGGCACTATTTACTACTCTCCCCCGCCTTGACTAAGATGATATTGAATTTCAGTAAACAACGGACGCAATATTTAAATATATGGGGGTGTTTGATTTAATTAATTGTTTTTGGGTTTGGGGAGTACATATGGAGGGAAGATAGAATATTTCGGGCGCAAGCGCCTGGCAGTTGACGCTCTTTGGTAATGTGCTAAAATCGCCAGAGTGGGGGGAACCGATCTCAAGGCGGGTAAGGTAACGAGCAGAAGTCTGTCCCCTTGCACACACACACTCGGCCCACTCATTGTTACAAGTTGTGGAGAAAAACTCCTTTCTCAACAGCAAAAAAACAACGATCGCAAAAAAACAACGGACAGCCTTGCTTGGTGCGAGGTGTGCGGGGAAACGGGTGTAGTGTGCATTCCACGGCATCTACAATGTATTGACACGGGTGGCGCGTGGCGGGTTAAATATATGGGGGTGTTTGATTTAATTAATTGTTTTTGGGTTTGGGGAGTACATATCGGGCGCATAAAAAAAAATTACGTTAATTTGTTATCAACAGGTCTCCCTGTGCCGTGTGCGATAGGCTGACTTTGGTACGACGTTATCACGTGTTATCAGCAAGTGAGATTCTCAGCAAACAATTTTTAAGCGGACGAAGCCCTTCGCAAGCAGGACAGGGTAATGGCAGCTTTTCGCGGCTACGCAGGCGACACGGCGCGGGACCTCGACAACCTCCTTCTACGCAAGTACGGTATCGAGTCAGAGGAACCATGCAAGATACATGTATGCGACGAGTGCTACCGGTCGTTGGCGAAGAACAAATTACCTGATACAGCATTGGCGGGTTTTGGGTCGGTACCCTACCCGATGAGCTGCAAAAGGCAACGTTCTTCGAGCGCGCCGCAGCGTACCCAATTCGAACAAAGGGTCACGTAGTAGCATTGGAATCAAGGCGTGTGAAGAACCTTCCTGGAACGGCTAAAATAAGAGATCTATGCGAGGAACATCTGTGTTTTACGCAAACAACTCCAGCTCTGTCGCGAACGAGCTACCTTTGGCGGCGACTGGTCTGCTGGATATGATCACGGTGGTGCTAGCGGGGAAGAAAAAACCCAAACCCTCCGGTCTTGGCCGCCTATTGGGTGCCCGCAAATCAATGATTAGCGCCATAATCGATTACATGGAAGACAAACTTGTCGTCGGTTTTCCCGTGGCGAAATCTCTTCCTCAGTGAAGAGAACCTCGATTCGTACAGCGACGATGGATCTATCCCTAAAGTGTTTTTGGATTCGATTCTAACATCGAATGACCCATTGAACGTGGTGAGCTCAAGCGTGTCTTCTTCCTACATTCGAGGTAGCAACGAAATTATGGGTGTACACGCATGCTTGGAAGATCTTTGCCCGCAGAGAGCCAGTTGTGGGGAAAAAAACAACAAAAATCAAATTAACCCGGTCACCACTTATCTATGCTGCTGCTCTTCATTTCAATCAATTCATCAAGCATACCATCAGGCCGTTATTAGCGCAGCAATCCGCCGTGAACGCCTCGTCTACTATGTACTTCTAAGGCTTCTCGACCTTCTCAAAAGCAGACGATCAGGCTACGGGTGGGTGTTGTGTGCCATAAAGAACGCAGAGGGTAGGATGAGTCACGTCCCTAACATTGTTACCACCGCCATCCATCAGTCATATTCACCTTGCTTGCTTGGTCGCCCTTCCTTTTACTCCTCCTTTACTCCTCCTTCCTCCACCTCCACCACCTCCTCCTCCACGCTTCTTGCCATCAGGTGCATCTCGACTCCACACGACGTCATGACTTCACATCTTTCTTCGCCGACATACACCATTATCACGCCAGCTTCGTCCAAGACATCATCGTTCTACACTAGGTTTTTTTTTTTTCTTTAGGAATATACTTCGTTTGAGGGTAGTTACGTCTTTTTTTGTATATTGTCTGCACTTCCCCGGAAATCATAATTATTATCTTGTCGTTTGTGTAGCCGAATTAAATTTGGCTCTGGTTTTCTGATACGATGGTTGGGAATGCATGCCACACCCGTCCAATTTGCCTGAAGTTTCCCTGCGTGCAGGCAAGAAGACCTGAAGAACAACAAGCGAAAAGGCCCATCAGCCCCACCCAGCACACACAAAGGAGGAAGGGCTGATGCACAGCCTCGCCGAACGGTCTGGTTTTGCACCCTGCTTCTTGTACTCCCGCTCGACGTCTGTCTGTGTCTGTGTTTGTCGGTCGCAGTCTGATCGTCTCTATCGCTCTGTCTCTCTCTCGCCTGTGATTCTTGTGACACCACATATGCATAGATAGATTCGTTGAGCGGCGAGCGGAACAACAAAAATCGTGACCGTCATAAAAAAAAAAACAGCAGGACCATTTTTGTCATATTTAGAAACGCAAGATTGCCGTTCTATTACCACTGATTCACAGGTTGGTGTATGTAGTGGTAACCAGCTAGTAGTGGTATCGCGTGGAGCTTTAAGCCTAGCGACGCCGATTCGAATCCGTTTGTGCCCTTGTGTTTTTTCTCCTTGATACAAAATGGGGCATTCAGGTCGCAGGTGATCAGTCTCTCCACTTGCCATCCGAATACCCAAAAAATAACTAATAATTAATTAAAAACACCTACACATATACTTGTCTCCCAAAACCCCAACAAATAATAAATTAAACAAACAAAACACCCGTTTCATTCTTTTATTGCGTCCCCAAAACTGGACTATAAGTAAGTATATAATGTATGTATATACTGCCTCTGACCGGGAAAGACCGGAAATTAATGAATATAGGCAAAGTTCGGATGATGACGCGTCATATTCCGCTCGATGATTTATTTCATCGTGAGTATGTACGTGTCTAATGTATCAATGTACGTACGGACGTAGTGTGTCATCACGTCAAAGAGGTTTTCATTTAAAAATTTGCACTCGTCGTGCACTTCCGGCGGGAAGAAAAACACATTTTTTTGTGTCCGATAGACAGTGTTAAGGAGTGTGGCTGCTAGCTTGAATAGAGTACATCTTCTTGTTGATAGGATGTATGTGGGTCGGTCCCAGGAGGTATACCCTTCAGACCCCTACCCTCTTAGAATTTGTCTAGTCTGTGTACTCCCTGAGGTGAAGTTGGATCCCCACTTCACCTCAGACCCTTGCTGATCGTCTCTCAGCAATAACAAGCAACTTTCCCATCTCAACGTGGTCGTGGACAAGCGTGTCAACGACAGAACCTACTACCTTCATCTATCTCTAGGAGCAAGCTACCGCCCACGGCTTCACCTCCTTTAAAACAGTCCGCGCACTTCTTCTGACGGAAAGGACAGTCTTATAATATATCCTTGTCCGATATTTCTTTCTGTGCATGCATATGCATCCATCCCGTTGTTATTAGTTGTGTATAGTTGATGCCTTCCTTACCCGTGACCTTTTGCCCGTTATGGCTCTATATATGCAACTACACAACAATCATGTTTTAGATATACATACACACACCACATACAAGTTGTACACATACATCACGTGTTGTGTGTGTGTGTTTGTGCGAATTATTTTTCAAGTAGGTTGAGCACGGCCAAACCCCAACAACGAAGCTTGTCTGTCTATTGCATCTTACACCCGATGATGCCTCCACCAACACCCACCCGGGTACCGCCATATTTCAGTACCGGGAAGTACCAACAACCGCCGAGGCGGTACCTCCATATTTCAGTACCGGCAGAAACACAGTATCTACTTTTATTATTATAGCATGCATTGCTTGCAACATCCGCATGATGAACAGATACATATTATATATGCATAGTTAGTTCCGTCCGGAAGATAAACAAACTGGGACCGGCCCGCAGAACTCCTCTGCGGGCGATGCTATTATTTCGCGCGAAGCCATTCGCCAAGCGCGAAAAAAATTGAGGAGGCGTGTGTACTTTTTGGCGGGAAAAAAATGATCACACGCACTACTTTATTCTCTTGTTTTTAACAGTCATGTCGATAACGGGGTACCGGTTATAACCGGTTACTACAGGGTTCAGCGGTAGGTACCCTGGAAATCCCAGGTTATTTTTCAATTCCGGGGGGCCCCTCACTGGGGGGGGGGTATTTTCACCTGCGGGCCCCCCTCGCACATGGCGCACACACTATTTGTCTTTTTTTTTTTCCACTTGCTGGGCGTTGTTGTGAGATCTATAGGAGGCACATTACGCACTAGCAGATGAGAGGACAAGCTTTTTTGTTTTTCGTTTTTCTCGGGGCTTTCCTCTATTCTCATGGCCGAGAAAAAAAAAATGTATTCATGACAACATTCCAATATTTCACCTGCATTGTAACGTGGTTCAAAGGTTCAAGGTAGGAAGCTGAAACGATACACACGACTGCGGCAGCAGTGGCAGCAACGCGCACAGAAGTGCACCTTGAACAGCATACAGCGAGCTGCTTCCAAACGAACAAAATATCGGACGTATACGTTAAATAACACCCCGGGGATGGGCCGTTTTCGTCCCCGCTATGAGTGGTTATAACCGGTACGTACCGCCGAAGGCTCATTTCCGGTTATTTCCGGTCAGTACCCTGCTCGAGCCCGGTTATCGACATCACTGGTTTTTAATGAGAAATGAGAGGACACACAGATTGCTCTTCGACGACATTATTACCGTCCTCTCCAGGATAGATTTCTGCGTCACATATCGAAGTATAGTCTAGGGGGGTGTACAGCAGTGTGATACAGAAAATAGTGCTCGAACACAACACAAGTAGAACTCCGTAAAATACTCTGTAGGTGGGTCGGCGCGGTGGCACCCTAAACAATAGGAGTATGATACTTGATCAAGAGCCTAGATGTTTTTGTTTGTATCTCAACACCTGACGCTGCATGCAAACCCTCAATATTGCGAAATGAAACTGAAGCAGCAGGCACTGGGGTCTGGCGTAGAAAACGCATGCGGCACAAAACAGCACATGGTATCTACATCGCAAGTACTTAACGGAACAGCAGTGCACGCCGCGGAGAAATATCGTTCGTTATCCTTACTTCTTGTACGCACCAAGCTCCTCATTGCACCGGGTGCCTCGTCAAAATCTACCAAGACAAGTGAGCAGCCTCACATGGGCCAACGCCAAAACAACAAAAAAACGACTACATACTGCTGTACCAAGGTCTACATCGTGCCGGCGTTGAATTCGTCAAACAGAGGTTGGCATTCAACGCACGGGTATGGGCCAAAACTGTTTCTTTGGGCCACCGGCAGACCTCCGCCCAGTCCTGTCGGAATCAGGCCTCCTCCTGTCCTCTGAGACCGTGCAACCCCCGCCCAATCTTCTCGCTCTATGATTCCTGGCGAATGCCGCGGCAAAACTGCAGTGTCTACACTCTACACAGATCTGCGGCCGCCGCTGCTGCTGCCTCCCCCCCCCCCCCCTGGCCAATCCCCGAGCAGCCGGCGCAGGGTGAATGGTGACGGGAGCACCACTGTCGCTCCCGGTACCCCCTGCCCCACTTGAGGCGACGGCAACACCACTCGCGCTGTCGGCAGCGCCTGCTCCACTTGCCCCCCCTCCCTGCGCGGTAGACTCTCTGGCAGTGGCTGCAGCGCGAGCGGCAGCGGCAGCGGCAGCGGCGACAATCCCGCTCGGTCCACTCTCTAGGGGGCCCCCTCCAGCAATTGACGCCTTGCGCAACCGGCTGCATCTGTGCAACTGAGCCCTCGAACACTGAGCCATCCGCCGGCCTCTGAAGTTCGGTGCGGAGAGCGTTTGCGGCATCACGGTGTGGGTACAACGTCAACGTCACGTTCGTACTGCGCTCCACCTGCGCATAGTACTCCTCCAACTGCTTTGCTGTCTGTCGGTGGACCGGAACCCACTTCACAGTCCCCTGTTGGATCTGATCGCAGTACGCGTTCCATTTGACTGCCCATCCGTCAAAGTTCACACGCTGATACTGCTGAGCTCTACCCATGGGACCGCCCGGTTGCCAATAGTTCTGACCGAGCTCCTCCCGAAACTTGCGTTTCTCTTCCCTGGTGTACACCCGAGTTTCTGGCATCTTCTCGCCCATCATTCTCGCATACAGCTTCGCCGAAAGCGTCAGATGTGACAGCGGCGTTCGACCGTTGACATCATCGACATCGTCCACTTCTGCGCACGACGACTCGTGGCCGGCCCCTTTCCACGCCTTCGCGTTCTCCCCCCCCCCCAAGCTCCGGCCGAGCCCACTCCTCTCGCCTGTGTCCACTGAATCGACGGCGGCTGGCCATTGCGAGAAGACGGGGCAACTCGGTTGCCCGCTGAATGATCTCCACAAGGTGCTGGTTGTAGTGCTCCCCCAGCTCCGCGGGTAAACCACGGTTCTTGACCATCATCTTTAGATTCCACCGGAAATTGAACTCCAGCAACACCGATTGTGCTAGGGCGGGCGACGCGCAGTAGGAGGCCAGAAGAGTGCGCAGGTAGCGGTGGTAACCCTGTTGTAAAAAGAATGAGCAGTGAGGCGCACCAAGAGGGGTAAAGTCAGAATCGGAAAACAAACGTCCAACCAAGTTGATTTTTGAATGCCATGATGGGTTATCAAAAATATATTAGAATCCGGGCCTACATACACAAAAGTGCTGGAAATCGTACCTCGACATCGTTGGTGCCTCGCACGCAACGATAATTGACAAGACCGTCCGTGGTCTTGCCAACCGCGTAGTACATCGCCACGCCGTCAGGATCACTCAAGCATCCGGCCACGATGTGCTTTCGCAGCAGGCTCACGGCCTTCATCGATTTCGGGCGCAGCAGGACCTCCTTGGAGATGTTGTCGACACAGTTGCCAAATTCCTGGACGACCTTGTCGAAGCGCTTCAGCAGCTCGCTCGGTGGAGGGACAAGACGCCGGCATTTCCTCAGGAAATACGACCAGTCCTGGTCCTTGGCCTGCTGTACCTGTGCCGGCGACATACCGCGACGTTCCAGCACCTTCTCTATCTGGACGAGGCAACAGGGTAAAACAACGGTCGGAAGGCGGGGTCACCGGCGACTCTAGAGAGGGAAGATAAATCGTCTCGCGCGCCTTGTTTCGAAAAGGTACATGTCAGCAACTTGCCTGTAGGACGTCGTCCCGGTTGACAAGAAAACAGGCGTCACGCAACCGCGCCATGATCGGCCTGAAGGCGCCGTGGCCTTTCTTGATCGTGCGTGACAGGCGGTTGAGGGCATGGAACAGGTCGAGTCGCACAAAGAACATATCGCCAGCTTCTTCCTGTGTCAAGCATGGAACAACATGTCAGACAAGACGAGCGTGATGGTCAAAGCATGGGTGTGTAACGCAAGCACAGCTATTGAGCATGACACAAGACGACCATGCCCACAACCGAAATTACGTAGAATCATTCTTGGAACCCACAAAAAAAAACGGCTGGTGTAAAAAAAAATCACCTGTGACGCCACAGCAGCATCAGCGCCCGCCCCGCTAGCGCTGGGTCCTCCACTGCTTGCTTCACTGCTCGCCAAATCAGCACCTGCCCCGCTCTCACCGAAGGTGTCGTCGTCACTCTCGCTATCGGCTTCAAGATCGCTCTCAACATCACCACCTGCGGACGAAAAAACAAAAAACGACTTAGAATATCACGGATGGAAGCGCTGCTCACCTTCATGGACTCAACTGCTGCACGAAAAAAAATCATTGACTCTGAATTCTCACCGTTCTGGTAGACAGCCTGTGCTGGTCTTGGCGCGTCGAAGAAATCGTCTTGGTGAGCATCGGCGTCCGCCGCGCCGCCTGGCAAAGGTGTACCTTCAAACGAGCGGTGAGCGGATGCCAGTCGAACATGTACGATATCCCATAGGACAAAGCCGGCCCCATCAACCACGTCCTTGACTGTTACACGCCGCTGCCCATCTTGTGCTGGTGGAGGAGCCTTATCGTGCGGCACGAAACTGGAAGGCTTGAGGGCGTTGTCTACTTTGACCACAACACGCTGCAGCCCCCCACTGCGCGTCCCTACCCTCCCACCCAGTGTCAAAACCGTGCCCCACTTCTCCAACAGTGAGGTCGCTTCCTCTTCGGTCTGAACGTGCCCAACAGCGACGCAGCTCGCGTGGTTGTTGGTATACAGCCGCACCAGTCCATTAAAACAAATGCAAAGGAGCATGTAAGCACCAACGCTCGCTGAATGCCCAACTATTGAACAAGGCACTTGGAATCCAACCACAGCGCCAAGTTTCTCTCGTCAGACACAATGACGGCAAGCTGCAAAACCAAACACCAACCAACAACTGTCATGCGTACCTTCGTCCCCGCAGCTGGCACTTCGCTTGGCGCCTCGCCGAAGATGGGATCTTTGAACTTGCCGATTTCGGCGTGCAAAAGCACCGCCGCGTATGCATCCAGGCAAGCATACTCAATCTGCGAGATTCCACGTTCCGAGGACATGAGCAAGCAAAGGGGGGAATGAACACTAATGTTGATACCACAGCACAACAAGTACTTTCACGGAAGTGACAGAAAAAGCGCGCAAGCATACGGAAAATGAAAAACCAAAACATGCGTTGACGAAGAGGAACCAGTGCAAATTAGCATTCCTCACTTCCAACGGTGTCCGCCTCAAATGTACCCACGCGCGCATGTATGTACCTGATTCGGCGTCAGCTCTGGTCTGCTCCAGTGGGAGAAGCGTCCAGCAGCATCCTTCGAGAGATACTTCCCCAGAGCAGTGGCAGTCATCCCTGCGAGACTCCGACAAGGCAGGTCCACCCAGCAAGCGCGGGCGTAGCTCCTCAGATCCACCATGCCACGGGTCTCCACGTCGTAGTCTCGTTGAAGGCGCTTCCCGTCACCCTTGACCGCAACGCCAACCTTTCATCAAACAAAAACGATGTAAAGAGCAATGGCGTTACACAGCACACTTATAATAGGTGCACATGCAAGGGAAAAATAAGTGCGCAGGCATGAAGACATCTGACAGGCTTACCTTGGTGATAGCCAAGTCACCCAGTAGCCTCTTGAGGTTGGTGTTGAAGGTGGAAGGTGTTATACCTCTTCCACCGCGTTGCAAGTGAAACAGAGAGGAGGTGCCGTCCGGGAGTGCAAGCTGAAGGGTGCAAACAGGCCTCTCCGAGCTGCCGTTGAACGCTGGTTCCCACTCACAGTCCATCCCAAGCACCATCCCCTGCGTCGCGCAGCCTCCAACAAGGTTGGCCACGGCAATGTCAATCGCTGTCTTGTCGAAGACCCTCACCCCCGTCTTGCCTTCCGGAAACGTCAAGGCTGCTAGTTCGGCTCCCCCCTCGGCCGCCTCTTCACCAGTTGCGTCGAACAGGCGGACACCGGTCACCTCTTCGATCTCTCGGAACATTGCTAAAAACATCTCGCGGTCTTCACAGCACTCATCTGGATATCGGCAAGGCGAGGTGGAAAAATACCAAAAAAATTCAGGTACAAATGGCCAACCATTTTTGCGCGCTGTCAAACGCAACGGTCACCACTGGCGGTGATCATTGATCAGATTGCTTAAAACTGGACAACATGCTGAAATCGATGACGAAGCGCCCCCCACCAGAAAGCAACCTACCGGAGAATAAGATGACAGGTAGCTTGAAGCCGTGACCAACGTAGCGGTTGACGAAAATATTCTTCAAATCGCTCTTCAGATCATGCACGGACGAAGTCTTCATCGCCTTCTGAAACACCACCTGCAAGAATGGCAGGCGACACCATGATCAATACTTTGGGGAGCGCCCGTGACCGAGCGAGGCGCATGATGTACAGAAACGGGCGGAAGGATCATGAATACATATAAACATACTCGCCTGCTCGTATTCGTTCAAGATGGTGAAGATGCCTTGAATGGGCTTGCTCTTCGTGGATTCTCCCGCTGACGTCAACCGAATGACCTTCGCGTACTTGAAAGATGCATCGCCTGCCAGGACCATTCCGTCCACGAGTTGTCCCACGCGCTGGAGATAGTCTTCTCTGGTCATGCGAACGCCGTCAGCCTGCGGTCGGAGGGAACCGGCGAAAGGGGTGAAACAGAATACAAGGTTGCCCCAAGTCACGTCGCCGTACAAGAGCAAAAAAGGAGAAAAAAGCGAGCCCAACCAACCTGAAATCGACAAGTTTACAGCAGCAAGAATTGCGTGGTGCTCCGTTTTCAAGATTCCTCTGAGACGCCAGAAGGCGGCACCCACCAGGGGAGAATTCAGTCACTACGAAGTGGCATACCTCTATCACAACCGTGTCGTAGAACCACTTGTGCCAAACAGCCCGAAGATACTGGTCTGACGGCCACGCGCCGTTGAAGCCTTCCTTGTCTCCAAAGCCACCGAAAGTTGGGATGTCCGGAGCTCCCTCCTCAGCGGCAGCTCTGACGTGCCCGCCAATGCTTCGCCGGCAGCGGTTAACTAGAGATACGTAGCTATGGTATTGCATCATGTATGAATTCATGTACGCCTCACGCATGAACTTCGAAGTTGCCGAAAATCCTTTGCCGTTCAGCAAGTCGTCAGCTAGCCGCGCCACAACAGTTTTCGCTACCCCGCTCTTATGGGTCAGGCAGGGGGGGCACACCAACGGTGAAAACAATTTAAGCTGGGTAGAAGGGTATGCCGCTTCATTCACGGGGCTTCCACCCGACGCCGACACGCCGACAAACAAAGCCAGCAGACAAGCTCACCGCCCGCCGCCTCGCCACCGCCGCCGGCTTCCTGCTTCTGGCCGCCCCTTCTTGCCTCACGGGTCAACTACGCTACCATGGCAAGGCATCGTGTGTCGGTTCTTCTCCTGATTTGTATCGATCAAGCATGCCTGGCCTTCGTCCCGAGCTGGACTGCGACGTTCAGGTCGTCACGCTCGCAGTCCCGTGCTTCAACGCCTGCGGCGGCGACGTCTTCGCTCTCGCAGCCCTCTGGTACGACCTGCCTTGTGTTCGGGACGTTTGGCGCTTGTGGGGCGCACATGATGTACCCGGTGCGAGGGATCACGAGCTTGAGCGCGCTGAGCGAGGGCAACGAAGAGGAGGGGGGCGGCGATCATGATACGCGAGAAGCGGCCGGCGGCAGTCCGGCGGCGGACGAGATCCGTGCGGTCCAGGATGAGATCCGTGGTGTCGAGCGCAAGATCGAGGATGTAGAGAAGGAGACGGAAGAGGTAGCCAAGAAGATTGATGATGTTGAGGCTGCTACAATTGCTGGGGGCTCTGGGGGCTCCGGGTACCTCGAAATGACCGATCCCGAAGCCCTGTGGAAGAAACTACGCCGGAAGGAGGGGCAACTACGCAGGAAGGAGGGGCAACTACGCAGGAAGGAGGAGCAGCTCCGCGAGCAGCTCCTTTTGAAGGAGAAGGACCGGCCTCCAGGATTGAGCAGCTCCGCGCCAACAACGCCCCGGCAGCTATGTACGGGAAGCGTCCCATTATATGTGACGATCCATACAGCAGTTTACAGTGGTAGGAAAAAAGCAGCCCGCAAAAAAAGCAGACCGTTTGAACAATCCAGGAGTAGTACGTTGGTGGCCGGTACATTTGTAGTGCTGTTTTTTTGCACGGGCAACTCGCCTCCTCTTCAAAGCAATCTGCGGACGTATGGTAGATCCACGCTCCTCAGCAACGACAGTACCGTATATGACACAAGATAACACACCCCCTGGACCGATTTTCAAAGCTCGATTACTCCACGACGAAGAGGATGCATAAATGAAACAATACGTTTTCGAACAGCTCTCGACGAGACGGTTCCAACGCCGCCGTTTTCGGCGCTGTGACTCTTCCTGCTGTTGAGAAATCGAGCTTTGAAAATCGGCCAAGGGGGTGTGTTATCTTGTGTCATACACGGTATGTACGACCTTTTCTTGCCCCACCTGGCTGCAGAACGCTGTGACAAGTCCCCCTCTGCTCATATATACCCTCGTGATCATTGATGTGGGGGAAGGAAAATTGACAGCATATTTACCGCAAAAGAAATGAAGCACTGCAGCTGTCTTGGTAAACGCCTGCGGTTGAGAAGCCACCGCATGCTTAGTTCTACACTAGTTGTGTACTCCAAGCAAGTTTTCGAGTGTTAAACGCCTGCGGTTGAGAAGCCGCCGCATTCTCAGTTCCCTTCCCCACACTGGTTGTGTACTCCAAGCAAGTTTTCGAGTGTTTGTGCGTTCTTCACACACAAGTTCGGTCGCCCACATGAGCTGCTCCAGAATTTTGAGCACATGCACCCACAGCCTTCCTCACGCCCTCCCTTCGGACAGCACTTGCTTGCGTGTCTCATGTAGCTGTCTTCGTGCCAGTGCTTTTTCGCGTGTTTTGTGTGACGACATGCCATGGCATGAATGGGGCTGCAGGAGGTAGAGGCACTCGTGGCCCGTGATATGATACACTTTATGTATGCATGTAGTCTTTCAGCAGATCCTCGCGAACGGACGCATTGTGGGGATGCGGTGAAATTTTGGTACGTTTGAGAAGAATGCAAAATTTGTGAGACCCGACTCCGGGGATGTTTGCTGATTCCAGTACAGATATGGATGGGGGCCAGTGGGGCAGACGACAGAAGCAAATAATCAAATAATGGGAAGGACCAAAAAAACAAAATATACATGAGCAGAGGAAAACTTGTCACAGCGTTCTGCAGCCAAGTGGGACACGAAAAGGTCGTACATACTGTCGTTGCTGAGGAGTGTGGATCTACCACAACGTCCGCAGGTTGCTTTGAAGAGGAGGCGAGTTGCCCGTGCAAAAAAACAGCACTACGAATGTACTGTACCCGCTACCAAAGTACCACTGCTGGATTGTTTTCAAATGGTCTGCTTTTTTTTGTTGCGGGCGACTTGCATGCTTTTCCTACACTGTAAACTGCTGTATGGATCGTCGCACATAATGGGACGCTTCGGTACCTGCCGGGGCGTTGTTGGCACGGCGCTGCTCAATACTGAAGAGCCGTTTCTCCTTCACAAGGACCTGCTCGCGTAGTTGCTTCTTCTCGTCGCGTAGTTGCTTCTTCTCGTCGCCTAGTCGCTCCTTCTCTTTCAACAGGGCTTCGGGGTCGGTCATTCCGAGGTACCCGGAGCCCCCAGCAATTGTAGCAGCCTCAACATCATCAATCTTCTTGGCTACCTTTTTCGTCTCCTTCACTACATCCTCGATCTTGCGCTCGACCGCACGGATCTCATCCTGGACCGCACGGATCTCATCCGCCGCCGGACTGCCGCCGGCCGCTTCTCGCGTATCATGATCGCCGCCCCCATCCTCCTCGTTGCCCTCGCTCAGCGCGCTCAAGCTCGTGATCCCTCGCACCGGGTAAACCATGCGCGCCCCACAAGCACCAAACGTCGCGAGCACAAGGCAAGTCGCACCAGAGGGCTGTGAGAGCGAAGACGTCGCCGCCGCAGGCGTTGAAGTAGGGGGCTGCGAGCGTGACGACCTGAACGTCGCAGTCCAGCTCGGGACGAAGGCCAGGCATGCTTGAGCGTTACAAACCAGGAGAAGAACCGACACACGATGCCTTGGCATGGTAGCGTAGAATAGTTGCCCCGTCAGGCAAGAGGGGGCGCCCAGCAGCAGGAAGCCGGCGGCGGCGAGGGCGGATATCTGCCTCTTGTTCGTGGGTCTACGGACATGGTTTGGATCAGTGTTATGACAAATAAGTTTGGGGTTTGGGGCATTTACAGCGGGGGGACGCAGACTTGAAAAGAGGGGAGGGCAAAGAACCGAACTCAAGACACTTGGCCACAGGGTACTGGTGAACACGGTCACGGACAGCCGGATAGCTCAGCTAGGCCGAGGGTAATCCCAAACCAGGAGAGCAGGTCACGGTGAAGCAGGTGTGTGACTACCCATTGGAAGTGGTTTGGGTTGAAAGCGTTCTAGCCCCCACAATATCTGGCCATCTCAAGGGTGACCTTCCGAAAACACGTAAAGTTGAACTTGCACCAGCGCTCTGAAACACTCCGCGTCTGTGAGATCATGTTGGTCGCCTCTGCTCCTCTCTGCGAAGGGCTTCGAGATCAAAGTCCACGCTTGAATACCGGAACTGATACTGCTGTAGTGGTGAACAAGTAGGCATAGTTCAGAACGTCTGTGTGTCAGCGTGAACATGCTCCGGCGCGTGTGTCGTGTGTGTGGTGTGTACACACATCTGGTCTACACCTAGGAGTCTTCTTGTGCACCCGCGTCTCGGGGAAGAGAACGCTAGTAGTGCAGTCAAACAAATAGTTGAGGAAGCGAGAGGAAGGAGCGTGGAAGTTAGGGCCTTGATCGATTTTCACATGGATCTATCAGTGCAAAATGCGGTCCAGGCAAAGATAGCAGCAGACGCAGCCGCGGCCGACGCCGCACCCGCGTACGACGGCGCCGCAGCCAACGCAGCTGCAGCCAACGCCGCCGCCGCAGACGCTGCCGCCGCTGTAAACGCTGCCGCAGCCGCTGTCGCAGCCGCCGACGCAGCCGCAGCTGCAGCCGCTCCCCCGGCAGCCGAGCACAACGGCGGCGACGCCCCCCCTGCAAACAACGGACCGAGGAGGGTGCCGGCGCGAACCCACTCGGCGGTATCCAGGCCATGCTCACCCAGTTCATGAACGCTCACCAAGCTCAAATGGCGGCCTTACACCAACAGGTGGCGCAGCAGGGACAGATCCTGCAGTAGCAGCAGCAGCAGCTGCTGCAGCAGCAGCCACAACAGCAGCAGCAGCCACAGCAGCAGCAACAACCCGCCGGCGGCATTCCCCCGCCACCTCCGCCGCTTCCCCACCCCCGCAGGTCCCGCCACCCCCGCAGGCCCCGCCGCAGTAGGCGGCGGCGCCGCAGCCGCTACCATCGCAGCAGCAGCAGCAGCAGCAGCAGCCGCAGCTCCGTCAGCCCAGTGTGGGCAACTTCAGCATGACGGTCAACGGTGGCAGGGGCGGTGGAGGAGGGAACCAGGGGCGCGGCGCCGGAGGGAGGGGCGGCGGGGGGAGGGGAGGTTTCTGACAGGTTGGGCTCTGCCATACGGCAGGGCCGACAGTAGGTGCGGGAGGGGAGTCAGGACACGCTGGTACCTGGTTCGCCGACGTCGCCAGGTCCGTGGGGCCTCGGGACGCGCCCACGCCGGGGTCGGTTTCGCCGGCCCTGTTTCACGGTGAGCAACTCAAGTTGAGCAATATAGCGGTCGCGCAGCAAGGTATAGGTGGACCAACCACACGAACCCGTCTGGTAGCTCCACAAACCTCGACGTAGCCGAATCTCGCCCACCTGTACGATCGGATACTAGGTTGTCCCCACACTCCAGGGCCAGCGCCCTCGAAATGTCGACACAACCACCGTTTTCCTACACGAATTGACGAGATCTCGCCACGAGCACGCGAAGCAGGCCAACGAGTATCACCGCTTACCAGAATGATAGAGACATGTCACGTCACCTGTCTCCCACACAACCCGCAGACGTAGGTGTGTCGGACACAGGGAGACTTTCGTCTCTACCACAACGCGTAGAAGTCGGCGATTCGGACACGGGGCTCGCCTCGCCTCTCACACACCCCCCGGGGTTTTCAGTGTCAGACGCGCTGCAGCCAACGTCTCCAACGCCGCTTGCAGCCTTGAACGCGTCAGCGGCGACGCATCACCCGTCTCGCACACAATCCCACGAGGCACGTGTACCAGACGAGGCACAATCGACGCTTGTCACTTCGGTCACCGCGCCTGGCGCGTCAGACACGACCTGTCCTCGAAGTCCCACCCTACCAGCAAAGGTCCAAGGGTCGGCACTACGACGACAACCGTCTCTCACACATCACGCACACTTTACCCCTACACAGCAGCTCCAGCGCAATATACAACTCACGTTGAGCAGCAGCGGTCGCGCAGCAAGGTATAGGTGGACCATCCACACGCACCCGTCTGGTAGCTCCACAAACCTCGACGTAGCCGAATCTCGCCCACTTGTACGATCGGATAGTAGGTTGTCCCCACACTCCAGGCCCGGCGCCCTCGAAATGTCGACACAACCACCGTTTTCCTACGCGAATTGACGAGATCCCGCCACGAGCACGCGAAGCAGGCCGACGGGCATCACCGCTTACCAGAATGGTAGACATGTCATGTCACCTGTCTCCCACACAACCTGCAGACGTAGGTGTGTCGGACACAGGGAGACTTTCGTCTCTACCACAACGCGTAGAAGTCTGCGTTTCGGACACGGGGCTCGCCTCGCCTCTCACACGCCCCCCGGGGTTTTCAGTGTCAGACGCGCTGCAGCCAACGTCTCCAACGCCGCTTGCAGCCTTGAACGCGTCAGCGGCGACGCATCACCCGTCTCGCACACAATCCCAAGAGGCACGTGTACCAGACGAGGCACAATCGACGCTTGTCACTTCGGTCACCGCGCCTGGCGCGTCAGACACGACCTGTCCTCGAAGTCCCACCCTACCAGCAAAGGTCCAAGGGTCGGCACTACGACGACAACCGTCTCTCACGCATCACGCACACTTCCCCCCTACACAGCAGCTCCAGCGCAATATACAACTCACGTTGAGCAGCAGCGGTCGCGCAGCAAGGTATAGGTGGACCATCCACACTCACCCGTCTGATAGCTCCACAAACCTCGACGTAGCCGAATCTCGCCCACTTGTACGATCGGATAGTAGGTTGTCCCCACACTCCAGGCCCGGCGCCCTCGAAATGTCGACACAACCACCGTTTTCCTACACGAATTGACGAGATCCCGCCACGAGCACGCGAAGCAGGCCGACGGGCATCACCGCTTACCAGAATGGTAGACATGTCATGTCACCTGTCTCCCACACAACCTGCAGACGTAGGTGTGTCGGACACAGGGAGACTTTCGTCTCTACCACAACGCGTAGAAGTCTGCGTTTCGGACACGGGGCTCGCCTCGCCTCTCACACGCCCCCCGGGGTTTTCAGTGTCAGACGCGCTGCAGCCAACGTCTCCAACGCCGCTTGCAGCCTTGAACGCGTCAGCGGCGACGCATCACCCGTCTCGCACACAATCCCACGAGGCACGTGTACCAGACGAGGCACAATCGACGCTTGTCACTTCGGTCACCGCGCCTGGCGCGTCAGACACGACCTGTCCTCGAAGTCCCACCCTACCAGCAAAGGTCCAAGGGTCGGCACTACGACGACAACCGTCTCTCACGCACCACGCACACTTCCCCCCTACGCAGCAGCTCCAGCGCAATACACAACCTGTAGGACTGCGCTCGACCAACAGCACGGAACAGCGAGTCTTGCGTCATCGTAGCCCTCCCCACGTCGGGTCATCATCGATTCCCAATGGCCAAGGGCGCAGTGAAACACAGCGAAAACACGTGGCGAGGTGGTACGAGGACAGAGCAACACTCGGAAAAACAAACCTCGAACAACCAGAGAGAGAACGAATTCTGTATCAACTAGCAGAGGTTTGCACGCAAATGATGCGAGACAACCGTGGTTTGGTAGGGAAGGTAGCACGGTCGCTCGGCGGAACCCTGGTTACACCACCGGTAGACCCGAACCACGTCAGACAATATTTCGGGGACCTGAAAGGTTTTCACAGATCGAAGAGCTGATGACAATCGTTACTGGAGGGGTACCAGTGATTGCCCCCCCGTCCAAAGCCGACCTTGCAAGCGCACTGAACTACGGAAACCACCGGTCGGCTGACGAGCACCTACCAGTCATTTGGAAAAAACTCGCAGAGGACGTACGTAGAGAGAGATGCCTCGTTATTCAAAAATCGGCGGCGTATGAAGTCCCAAACATGCGCGTGTCGCCGTTGGGAGCGGTCGTTACCCGGGAGCGGTCGTTACCCACAAGGTTAGGATAATCAATGACTTGCCTTTCGACGCTGACAACAAAGGAGTAAAAGGAGGACTCAACGCTGACACAGACGACGACAGTGTACCCCCTAGCCTCTGCGCCGAAGCCCTGCCAAAATTCCTGTCGGAGCTAGTTAGCCTGCGAGCCAAAAACCCAAAGCTGCGCATCCTCATGTCAACGACGGACGTCAACGACGCCTATCGCAACGTTCGAGTAGAACCTGAGCAAGCACACAACTTCAGCTACGTAGTCGACGACCTCGTCGTCATCGATTTCCGCCTGACTTTCGGTTGGACCGGCTCACTGGGACATTTCGGAGCTATGGCTTCCGCGGCTGAACACTCGCACTGTAATACCAATCTCGACAACGTGCAGTTGCTGCCCGCAGGAGTAAACATGATGAATCACGTAAGAATCATCGAACCGTGGGAGGAAGGCGACCCTACGCCCGTGCCGGATGACGCCACAGTTCACGCCACAAAAGGAGGCGATCGGTCGAGCAATTTCATGTCA